ATTTTCAGGCGAAGAGGTTTCAGCTCGGCCTTGAGATTTGTGATGGTCGCCTCCAGCTCGTCATTCTTCTTCTGGGCCGCCTCTAACTGAGCCCGAACAGCGGCGGTAGCCTGCGCCTGATAATAAAGAATATCAATGGTCAGAACTTCATTTTAGGCAATTTGAAACATTGCCTTATCACAGTCAGAGGCGGCCATAGCTTTTGCAGCCTTTACCTCTTTGTTCTTCCGATCAAGCGGCTTGCGAAGGCCGTTAACTCGGAGCAGGGCCTAAGTACAAAGAAACAGGCGTCAGTTTCCAAACAAAAAATAAAACAGGCGTCCAGAAATTCAAATACTCATAAATATGCTAAGTATACCTCAGCAAGGACCCCTGCAATCCCGTCAAGGTCAAGGGTGCCGACACCCCTGACCGCCTCCCTTTCGGCTGGAGGAACTGCCCTGATCATAGACTTGGCCATCTCTACCAAGTCAGGCTCCTGGGGGCCGGCTGCATCAAGCATAAACAAACGGATTAGACTTAGTAAAAAAGGGAGCAAGTCTAAAATTTACAAGGACAACTTCATACCTCTAGGCGGCCCAGTTGGAGTTTTAGAAGAAGTGGCCGGCTGTTTCTCAGCCGCCACCTGTTTCCTGGCAGAACCAGGAGAGCTCCCAACAGTCGTCTTCCGGGCCTTGGGGTCCGGCTGTTGGGAAGATGAAGCTCTTGGAGCACCCGTCTAAAACAGAAGAAAAAAGTCAGTATATGCATAAACACTCCAAAAAGAGGGTGAAAGGTTCGGAGCTCACCAAGGGTGCCCCCTTTTTTGGGGGAGTCGGCTGAAGCTTGTTGCATAATAGAGGCCCGCAACATGGCCGCCGAAGTCTTGGAGGCGGTGATTTTGCTCATGGCGTCCGCTGCAAAAACAAACAGCAAAGTTAATAAAAGATAAACAACAAATGTATGGAATAACAGAGTATTCGACAGGCCGACTACCTCTTGAGCACCGACTGCTGAGGCCGCAGGCGGCCAAAAAGTACTCGTCATAGAGCCACTTGAAGCTCGGGACGCAGTGCAGGGGTACTTGCTCTCGTACCCCTGAAGTAGAGTCGACCCTCGACTCTACTTTAAAGAGTCCTTTATCAAGGATCTCTTTCTTAGCCTTGGGGGGAACAGGCGGCATGCTACGGCCGCCTGCAAGAAGGGGCGGATTCCTGTTCCACCTATTGAAGCGCTTGTTCAGCTCAATGTCTGAACTCTCAATGATGAGGAAGGTGCTCCGCCAGTCCTTCCACTTGTTTGCTTTACCTCTTGTCATGAGGTAGCCCCTGTGGCTTGTCAATTGATACCAGGCGGTACCGCCTGTCTTAGGGGTCCGGCTGAGATAGTTCATATGGGCGAAAGCCTCGAAGCTCGGCTCCACCCCGTGCAGTTCGCACCCGGCCACATAGCCGAGTACGTTGACCCAGGAGTTTGGGGCTAACTGCCATAACCCCAACTCATACCCATCCAAAATCCGATGAACAGCCGGATGTAATGGGAAGCGCAGCCCTGCCTTGATGGCCGCCTCGTAGCAGCCAAAGCAGGCGCTATCATAACTGGAACCAGCCGGCCAGACGACTGTGTCTTCTGGATCCGGCAAACACTAGAAAGTCGGGGCCCATGGTGTGGTTTGCAATAAAGCTCTCCACTTTCTCTTGCATGGCTGTGATCCGGCCCCGAGGTACCGTGCAGTAATAGGGGGTATTTAGCTCTCGGTGAGAGGCGGATGGCTCCGCCCAATTGTCCCCCTTCTCAACTGCGTGAGAAAGTCTCGCCTCTTGCAGGCGACTGTTTTTCTCTTCTGTGTCCAAAGAAGCATGGCCAGAAGAGCTTGACTCGGAATCGTCCTCTGACGAGTCCGAAGAGGACGACTCCTCCCCTCTCCCGGAGGGGCCCGCCTCCTCTCTTTGAAGAGGGGCAGATTTGTTAACTGTTAAATGGGAAGGGGTCACTATGACTCCTCCCTCAGAATCGCCGGCTTTCAGGCCGCCTTGTTTCACTTCCACATCTGGCGCCTGGTCAGATGTTTCACTAAGCGGCACCCTGTGGGAGGAGCCGTCTGAATTTGAGATCCTAGCAGTCTTTTTCGTTCTGGCCATCCTGCTCTGCATAGACACAGATACAGTCGGACTTTGTATAAAGGGCAAAGATGGGTCCGGAAAAGGGCAGGCGACACTCCTAGTCCTAGATTCAGCCGTCCCCGGTGACCGGCTGATCACTAACCTAGGTCGTGTCGTGTGCTTCCGTGGTGCCATTTCAAAAAATAAAAAGAAAATTAAGAGTAAGAGAACTGACAGTTACCTGAACGAGTGACGGTTGATGAAGTTCTGAAAATCCTGTGCAGTCGGCTTGTCAGAACAGGCGGTAGGCAGAAAAGGTCCGAAATGTCAGAGCAAGTTCAGGGGTCCGAATGTTCTCAAAAAGTTCTCAAAGTGTGAAAATGACCGAAGTCAACTCTCCCTTATATAGGCGAAGTGAGAAGGCGAAGGGTCACTTTCAGAATTCAAAATTTGGGCGGGAAAATCTCTCGTCCTTTCGCCGGCTGACACCTGTAGAAGGTCGCCGCCTATTACAGTGCGACACCTGTCACAGGTAACACGTGACCAATCACGTGCCACCTGTGAGGGGCAAATGATTAGGGGATTTTGCTCCCACCAATCGGAATGCGCCACGTGGGCCAATCAGGTCCTGCCAAGTGTCCCCCAGTTGGAACTGTCAGGGCTTGCCACGTGCCACGCGCTTATTCGTCCACCTTGGACCTATTATGTCATGACATGTGGCATACTCCATGCCTAATGGAGAAACCGGCCACCCAGGCCCAACTTCCGAGGGAAGCCCAATCGGCCCTAGGTTAACCTAAACCTAGGATGGGCACGTTTCCCAAGGTTATAAATACCTCCCTTAATCCTCATTAAGGGAGATTACGGAAAAAACACATTAATTACACACAGTAATAACCGGCTGATCTCGCTAACAAAGCAGATTACCTACATTAATCACTCTCACCTAGAGAGACCCAATCACTTTAATTTCCGCATTAATTACTCCTTAATCAAGTACTAACTTGACCGTTGGAGGCGGAGCTCCCAGGAGTCTCCGTTATTTTGCAGGTACAGGCGTCCGGTTCCAGTCTCGGAATTGTAACTCTCCCGCAGGACATCAGAAAACCCCGAAACAGCTGTGGTTTTCTGTTTTTTGGTTTTTTGTTTTCTAAGAGTATATGATATGAGTCTTGTAATGAATCAAAAATTATATAAATTATTAAAATTATGATAATTTTAAAAACTAACAACAGAAAAGTGGAAACATTTTTTTCTTGTTTCCTGTTTTTGGTTTTCAAAAAAACAGGAAACTGAAAAACCAAAACTGATGCGAAACAAGCCCTAGTTAATTGGTTCTTTTATAATAATCTATCATTTATATCTATTCTAATCTATTAAAATGTGATTCTAAAAAACGTTTATACACTACGTAGACCCCTCATTTCGCCATGTTACTTACTCAACTTCTTATTACATCGTGTCATCCATCAACATCTCATTATGTCACATCATCCACACAACCAACAGTACTCATTGGAAAAATATATGGATGAAAAAGTTCAAAAACTTGACCTTTTAGAAGAAATAATGTTATTGCTTAACCATCTACGCCGTTTTCAATTATGCTTTAAACTTGCACAATAAATAATATTATACTCCAAAGTAATGAAGACACATATTACATACAAACTATTAGATGTTCTTAAAAATTAGTAGTTGCACAACTATAAAAGTAGTATTTCGGAGCAACGCCCAAGTTACTCACTAATTTTTATAATCACGTGAATTTAGAAGAAAATAAATATGTATTGATAAAGTTGTTCACATTATTAGGCATACTTATTACATCAAAATAAAATTAAGCATATTTATACATGAGAATTAAAAATAATACTCCGTATTAAATTGGTATTAAATATAGAGTAATGAATATTATTAATTTCTTATGCATAACATGAGAAATAAACAAGTTAAACAACTCTCCATATAAAAGGAAAATGTTATACATAGTCTTTAAGGCTACATATAAGCATTAAAAATACTCTTGAAAACTGTTTAAATTTAGAAAATCATGACAAATTCACACTAATTACACTGATTTACGCGTGTTTTTGTCATGAATTCCTAATTTTATACAATTTTTTACTTCCTTCATTTTTTACTTGTTCCATTAATACTTTTTTGTACTATTTAGTTGACCCACTTTGACTAGTGTTTATGAATCATAAATAAGATCATTTATAATATTGTGACTACTGCTAGAGGTGATCAATGGGCGAATCGGGCAGGGCAAAGGTAAAAAAAAATGCCAATATATCGGGTTGGGTTGGGCCAGGCAAAACTTTGGACCGGGAAATGTGTGCACAAACCTGCCCAAACTAGACGAACCAAGCGGGCTTTTTGTACTAATTTTGGCCCGAGAAAAAAAACAACTAAAATTGCATAAAATTGATTTCCCAAGCCCGTCATCTTAAATAGATTATTACTCTGTAATATTTAATTGTTGTGTTTTATAATTATTGGTAATTAAATACGAAGTATATTATTGGTCAAAATTGACATATATGCCAAGGTTGAGTGGGCCACTTAAAAAAGGTCGTAAAACTGTGTCTTGATTAGACAAGATGAGTAATACCAAGGGTCAGTTCACTTCATCTTTATTTCAGTTCAGTTCACTTTATTTCCTAATTTTCTTCTCTCATAAAATATTTTGTACAGTTCAGTTCCAATAATTTCAGTTTAGTTCAGCTCAGTTTAGTACGGAGTAAGGGTATGTTCTCATACGTTTATTTTCAGTTCAATTTAGTTCAGCTCTTAATTTCCTTCTCTTATAAAATATTCAGTTAAGTTCAATTCAGCTGAGTTTAGTCAATGAGAACGGGTCCTGTGAACATATCATAAACAAAACAAAGAGAGTAGTATAAAAGTAGGACCCAATAATGAAAATGACAATCCATAAGAGCAATGGAATTCCCATTTCGAGTATATATAGCAAAAGAATGTCCCTGCGGCGGAGGCTTGTGCCGGATAAGGACCTCCACCACCCAAAACAACCGTTCCTACTATAGCTGTCCCGGCAGAATGGTTAATTAGTCTGCATTATCATTAATTAGTTACTTACCACTGTTCTATTACACCAAATTCCAGTATTGATTGTTCTAACAATTCTTGTGGTTTGTGTTCTGGGCAGGAGATGCACTGTGGTTACTTCGGATGGTGCGATGAGGTGGAACCGCTGCCACCGGTTGAGTTTCTGGGTGTCGGAGAGCTGCCGCCACCGGTTGAGATTCTGGGTATCGGAGAGCTGCCACCACCAGTTGAGATTCCGCGTATCGGACCTAACCGATACCCGGAATGCCCTTGTGGTGCCGGAATTTGTACGCTTAAGGTTCTTCGACATGGGCCAAATGCTGGTCGTCAATACTTTGCTTGCCGCATTAAGAGGGTAATTTAAATTTACATCTTCTTTAATCATTGTTGGTTTTGTCCGCCATCTTTTCTACATAATTGGAGTAATGGCCATAATTGATTGAAAATGAAGGAGTTTGTGAATTATTTAAGCAAAATTAATTGTTTCTGTTTCTTTGAGAATGGGGGAAAATGAAGTTTAAGTTTGTCTTTTACTGAGTAATAAGTACTTCCTCCGTTTTTTATTTTACGTATTTAAAAGTGCCCCCTTTTTTTTTTAACTGTTTTTTAAGTGCTCTAATAAAAACGTGTTTTTTTATTAAAAAAAAAAAATTGTTAAAATATGTCAATTAAATTAACCGAACGTAGTATAAAGTATTCATCAATTTGTTTAGTATTTACATAAAACCTAAGATAAAATAAAATACAGGGAAAATAATCTTTCTAAGAGCATAACTTGATTGTTTCCATAAATTGTAAAAATGTATTTTTCAATGAATACTCCCTCATTTTCATAATGTTAGTACCATATACTCTCTACGTTTCATAATGTTAGTCTTATATACTATTTTGGGTGTTTCAAAATGATATACTCATATTGAATCTATTCCTTTTTTATTTTATTTCCTAATTCGAACTTATCTATTAATTAACTAATACTAAAACAAAACATTAGTGACATCATTTCTCCTCAAAACTGTATACGTGTCGCTTTCTTATGAAATATTTTTCCGCCTAAAACCATTGATGATGTCATTATTTATTTGTTATACTTTTAATTTTGATATTTTTTTATTTTTTTTATTTTTTGATATTTCATAAACAAACTAAGTAAATGCTTTCAACTTCTTCAAAAAAAAATAAATAAATAAAATCATTGGAGTATACTAAATTGAATAACAACTTTATACCTTTCTTATGATTTAAAGATCTACTCTGTATTATTTCCTCTCCTCAATTCCTTATCACTAATATTCATACGTCCGAAAAATTCATGAAATATTTAAACTACTATGTATAGTCGTATATTCATTTCAAGAAATCTCCTTCGAATGGGTTTATATCAAAATCGAAAAGATTAATTGTATATACAAGTGCTACACTACAATTTTTTTAGTAAATCATAAAGATTAACATTATAAAGTATCAATATTATTTAGCAAATCATAAATATTTTTAATATGAAAAAAAATATTAATATGAAAATCATTTATGTTGTTGCTTTAGTTCAAAGTATATTTTCAAAAATTGTACTTACCCCTCTCTCTCTCTCTCTCTCTTATTTTTTTTTTATTTTTTTTTAAGTTGACACATTTTCTCATTAGGTAAGTTTTTTACCTTGTATTTGCTTTAACGTTCACTCTCATTCCTTGTCCTCTCCTTAATACGTGTATCCTAAATTGAATGCGTCAATTAATTAAAAACAGACGAAGTATTAGTTTTATCACATTTATTATTTATTTAAGGTTAAACTTGTGAATATATTAAACTTGTTGTTTTTTCAAAGTAATTTTTTTTATAGAATTTCTTTATTTGATTTAATATGTTATGTATATGTTAAATTCATACTTTGTTTCTTTATACTTACAACACACATTTTATCACGGTATTTAAGAAAAGTGGACCTCACATAATATAATACACTTAAAATTGGGATAATAAGTTGTGAGGAGTATAATCAAGTGGACCATGTGCTTTAAATAAAGGTAATAGTACAATTTTCACCATAAAAACATTCTTTTTATAGTGTGTTGCAACTATTGTGATATTTTTAATAATAGAGAAGTGTTCAAATTATAAAGAAACAAAGAAAATATATATATTGTAGATGTATAACTTTTTATTAATAGATTTATTTTACTTTTCAACAACAAAAATAAAATCTTAAACTTGTGAATATTGTTATTAGTATTCATGAACAAAAGGAGATATAAACATTTTATAGTGTTTTGAAGTTTAAAATTTTTAAGTGTCAAATTGTTAAAATTTATGTAATAATTAAATATATCAATGATTGTAGATATGCATTCACAAATGTGAAATAAAATTAAATGGGTAAGTCTTGCCACATAGTGTGGCCTACTGTGGCCACATTCAATTATAAGAGTAATTTTCATTTATATGTATTAGTAACCTTATTTCACAATAGTAACCTCATTTTTTTCACAAGAGTAACCTCACATATTGTCTATAAAAGTAACTCAAATTTATTATATGATTAAATCAAGTAATTTAGAAATTAGTAATCTTATTTGTTCATTCGAGTAACCCCTATTATTTTGTTTCAAAAAATAAAAGAATAATTTCACTTATTTAAGAGAGTAACTCCCTTTTCTCATTTAAGTAACCTACATATACGTTAAGGTAACTCTGTTTATTCGTTATCGTGACCTTTATTACGTAACTAATTGTCTTTTATGTGATTATGTGAAAAGGTCACGCCATATGACTAGTCACATATAAGAAGTTGTGTAAAAATTATTTCATCAAAACAAATATTTAGTTGATTTATTAATATCATGTGTGTAAATCAGGGACACGGAGCTTGTAATTTTCACCAATGGTTGGATCACGATGAAATTGAGATTGACTCCTGCCCACCACCACCAGAAACACCATAGCTTACATAATAAGGGGAAGATGAAGCAGTTGATGCATAAGCTATTAACTTTTGGAGGAGAACAGGTTTTAGCCTAAAGAACTACTAATGTTCATTACATGTTGGTTTTATGTAATCAGTGATTAGTACTAGTATGGCGTAAGATTTAAACTTAGGTTGAAGTTTGTTTAAATTGCTGCACTTCACATTTTGTTTTTGATGTTGACCATAAAGTAATACTAGCTGTAAACTTGTAACTTGCGCTTGACTTGACTAGCTTGGGATACCCTTTATGCTAAAGAGAAATCTATACTTGGGAAAAAAAACACACACACATAAAGTAGGAATCAAACTTGAGAGTTTGAGACCTCTCTTGGCAAAGCTCACAGTACTAGTACCAAGTGAGCTATCAGCTATTATGTGTGAAAGTGGTAATCCAATTGTTAGTGTATTTCGTGCTAATTGATAGTGTATTTCATGCTAATTGATAGTGGATTTCACTATTTCGTGCTAATTGTGCTAATTGTGGAAACAATTTATCGTGGTAATTGTACTAAATTTGTAGTGTATTTCGTGCTCAAATTCGTGGTATTGCGTTTGTTCATGGAATGTAATTTGCAATTGATATAAGATTCTCATTTGTGCATTATATCTACAATACTGTAATATCGGTATTACTTTATTATGCTCATAATTATAGCATTCTATTGGTAAGATGTATGAATATAATTATAGCATTCTATTGATAGTGTATTGCGTTTGCTCAAATTCGTGGTCTTGAATTTGTATGTCTCACTATCTCTATTTGTGTATGGCATGAGGATTTGTCACCAGTTCACCACTGTCTGTATAGTGTATATTCTCTATTAACAATTTAACATGTATGGCATGAGGATTTGTCTCACTATCTGTAATTGCTCCTCTTATGTTCCTTGTATGGACTGGTTGTATAATCTCATTAATCTGTGAGTTTTTATGTATATTAACATATATGGACTGATTTGTCTCACTGTATAATTGTTTATGTCTTAAATTGATGTATGTTTGTTATGTAATTATTTTTTATATGTAATTATTTTTTTGCATTATTTGGTTTTGTAGGAATTAAAGACTTGGTTTTGTTATATTATTGTACTTTGTATTTATAATTTGTATGTTTGGAATTATGTAACTAATGACTTCCCCTAAACTTTAGCTTTTAATTAGTACTTTAATATGTTAAAACAGGTTACTAAAATGTAGCAGGTACTCAAGGCAGTCAAGGGCTACATTTTACTGCAGTAATTCTGGAAAAACATGCATAAAGCAGAACAGGTTTCATTTTTTAATAAAAAAATGCAGCAGGTTTTTACCAAAAATAAAAAAATGAAGCAGGTTTTTACAAAAAATGAAATCTGGAATTTTTACAAAAAAAAATGCAGCAGATTAAATACATAATATTAAGTAAAAAGTAATTTTTTTTTTAAAAAAAAAAGAGATCCGGGTACCCATGTCCCGACCCGAATAATTCGGGTACCCGGAACCCGGGTACCCGGGCTATTCGGGTCGGGACATGGGACAAGCTAACAAGTACCCGAAAACTCGGGTACCCGAAAACCCGGGTACCTGGATTTGAACACCCCTACTATTAGTGTCTCCAATTTATCCTAATTATCTTTTAGCACTCACTTAACCCATTTTATAATTAAATTCATCTATAAAATAAGAAAAAAGAACAAAAACTACCACCCTCCTCCCTTCCCCCTAGCAGTAGCCCTCCTCCCTTCCCCCTAGTAGTAGCCCTCCAAGCCGCCTTCATCCCCTCATCCCCGGCGACCTACCTCCAGCGTCGGCCGACCTCCCTTTCCCCTTACCCCCGGCCTGTTGCAACCCTCCATCTCCCATCGTACATCTAGCTCTTATTTCTCCCTCAAACACTCATAAACGCACTACCAAAATTTGCTAGGATATTTTGGAAGTTTCAAATCGAGTTCTCCCACACAATCAATGTAATTTTGCTTCGATTTTATATTATAATATGCTCGAATTTTGCAAATTTTAATTTGTCCGTAAATCCTAGAAAAATCGATTTGGGGTGTATCTTGCTTGCAATTGATGCTTGTTTTGGCTTTGATTATTGTAGGCGTCGCTCGAAGTGCGCCTACGTTAAAAGCATGTGGTGAATATGCTTGGCACTCATAGGAAGTGGGAATTGACATTACGATTAGGGACAACGATTAGGGACAAATAAAGTAGGGAGCCGCCAACAAGTTTTTAAGGAACTTGTAAACCGTTCACGGATCATAAAAGGCAACCACGAATAAGGGACAACGATAGGCAACAACGATTGACCCGTGAAGGTTACACCCCATTCATAATCCATGAGATTACTAGCTCCATATGGTTCGGAACCACGAAAGGAGGATCGAGGATGATGGTACGAAGTGAGTCATGGAGTCACATTCGCCCGTATTGGCCTCTACTCGATTCTTATAGTGAAAAACATTCCTGGGATCTCAAAGGCATAGAAAGAAAGTTTCAATTTGCTCCAAACTATTATTAAGCTAAATTGGTTGAATATTAATGCAACACATAATTCTAAAATATTTGTGATCACTTGAATTAATTAACAAGATTAAAAAGGAACCTAAACCGGTTGTCCAAATTATCTTATTAGGCGTGATTTTCAATTACATATTCCCTTTAAACATGCAATAGGGTGATCAATAAATATAAAAGAATAAACATTAATATTGGAAGCAATTCAACAATAATTCCAACAATATAAAATCGTTAGAAAAATAATAGAAATAAAGGAACATAATTCTTACTTTGATTCTGTTTGTTTGCAACTACAAAATAATAAACGAGTTAGTAACTTCAAGGAAATAATAATAAAACAATAATTAAATTAAATTAAATGAAATAGAGTTGATTTGGGGCCAAACCCTCAAACAGTTCTACCTTTCACGCCTTGGCTTAAGGACATAACCACGAGTAAAGTATGGACTCCTTTGAGCACTTGAAGAAGGAATTTTGAAATAAGAAGGGTAGGCTAGTGTTTAGGCTAAAGCATAGAAGAGAGAAAAATAAACTAGAGAGTTAATTGATGCCCCGTACATCAGAAATGAGGGGGCATTTATAGAGAAAATGTGCTGAGGGAGCACACGGAACCCTAAAATGATAAAAACCCTAAAAAAATTATCCCGCGACACGGCAAACTGTACCGTGACACGGGAAGACCCACCGTCAGACGGGAAACATTCCCGTGACACGGTGCATTTTTAGTGTGACGCGGGAAATTTTCAGTAAACGGGGAAGAAAACGCGTTAAGGGTTTACGCGGAAAAGACACGGAATTTCCCGTGTCACGGAAGATTTCCCGTGTCACGGGAAATCCCACCGTTAGACGGGAATGATTCCCATGACACGGTGGGTACCTGCCGTGGCGCGGGAATTCCCAGCCCGCTTTTCCGTCTAAATACATTTTTAACCCTAATTTCATTCGGCATTTTAAGTGCCGATTGATAATTTCGGGCCTTTTCTGACTTATTATTATTTGGGCTAAAATAAGAAAATAATTAAATAAAATAAATAAAAGGTTTGGGCTAAAAATTAAATAATAAATTTGGGCTGAAATTAAAACTATGCTTTTACCAAACATCAAGACTAATCCATGGACTGTTCAAAAATATGAATTTAATCAAATACGATTTTTTAAGCACTCTCGGGATTAAATACTGAACCCGACCAATAGTGGCGGTGAAAGGTTGTTCATCATCGGGTTTGGTTTTGGGGAGACATTTTTAGGTGTCTACAGAAGCCCCCACTTTGACTGAGTTCGTAGAAACGTCAGTTTCGAAAACGATAGTCAAAGTAGTCGATAGGGACGGAGAATGATTTAAGACGTTCTGCGATCCTAAATCACTCTGTATACGCCGATACCTGCAGAAAAATGTTAATTCCACAGATAAAAGAGTAAAAGGATAGAATACGTATCTGTCGCCAGTGTATCGGTGACAAATGAGTTTGGCAGCTTCCTATGCTTGAAGGAATCCACCGGGTGACATTTGTTGAAACGCTTTCCATGCTTGAGGAAAGCCGACTGAAGAGTTTGATAGTTTTCTAAGCCTGAAGAAACCTACCGGATAATACTTTCCATGCTTGAGGAAAGCCGACAAAGGAATTTGGCGGTTTTCTATACTTGAAGAAAAATCCACCGATAACGCTTTCCAAGCCTGAGAAAAGCCGACTTAGCGGTTTTCTATACTTGAAGAAAAATCCACCGATAACGCTTTCCAAGCCTGAGGAAAGCCGACTTGGCGGTTTTCTATACTTGAATAAAAATCCACCGATAACGCTTTCCAAGCCTGAGGAAAGCCGACGACTACTGTAATTGCTGAAATTTGCAAGTGTATGATGGTTCGATTATCCCCGAACGTGGGCCACAGATGATTCACACCTTTCAAGTCGATTATCCGACCATATTAGGTGCTTAAAATATCGACAACATGACTTTAATGCTTCTAGGGGAAAAATAGTAATTTTGGTACCCTCCAACCGTCAATTGGAATTTTTCGCGTAATTTTACCGAAAAATTAACTGTCCAATTTGCGGGGAAAATCGTGCAATTCTGGTCAAAATGCCAGGAATATTCGCAAATAGCTATGTAGGGTAGGCACAAAGCCACCGTGTCACGAAATGACTTCCCGTGACACGGCACGGGTCCCCGTCACGCGGAGCAGATTCCCGTGACGCGGCAGGGAGTCCCCGTCACGCGGAGCAGATTCCAGTGACGCGGGAAATTAGTTGGCTGAAAATCAGTCAACTGGCATCTTTGACCAGTCAGACCACGTGCACCACGTAATATATTACCATTACATGGTAACGGAAACCGTTGCACGGGAAACGGGGACATGCAACGATTACCTTTGCCTTTAAATATCAACCACTTCTCCCATTACTGCTTGTTGTTTGCTGTTAATCGGAGCTCCGGCGTCTCTTGTGCTTACCGTGACACGGGAGTTCATCCCCGTGACACGTTTTTGGCTTACCGTGTCACCGTGGCTGTTCTGATCTTCGTGGTTTTTTGAGCTTTTGGAGCTCAAACCTTCATCAATTCTGGTCTAATTTTTTTTTTGCTACTTTCCTCATTTTCGATTCTCTAGAAGGATCCTTGTAAGTTTCCCTTGATTTTGCCTTGAATTTGCTTCAAACGAGTAATTTCATGAAAAACCCTTAAAAATCAATTTGGGGATCTTTTGATTTTGTGGTTTATGTTGAAATTCATGCTATGAATTTACTTGTATATGTATGTATGCGTGTTTGTGAGCGATTTGAGACAAAAATTGCATGATTTGGTGAGGATTTGAGCAAAATCACCATTTTTGGCACTACTTGTGGTAAATGGTGCTCCTTGTTGTTCATGCTGTTCTTTTGCACTTGGATTGATGACCTGTTGGTTATAGATCTTGTAAAATATGCTATGATGCGTCAATCTATTGTTTTTCTGCAACTTTGAGATATGTTTTTGTATTGTGTATGTACTACATTGTCATGAAGAACATAGTACCATGCAATTAGGCAAACATAGTA